GGCTTCCGCTGCTAAAAGCAGGTATCTGGTTTGTTTGCGTTCTATAATCGAAACAATGTATAACTCCAGCTCTGAGATCCCGACCGGCTGAAAGCTGGTTTCTGGGGTTTTGTTTAGCTTCTATATTTGTTACAAAGTTTCAAACTGCCAGCTCAGAGGCCGGTGGCGCAGGCGGCGAACGTTGGAGTCGTCCTTCACTGAAGGAAGCAAGCCTCATGTTCGCTTCAAGCTGCCTGGCTTCCGGCCGCCATCTTGGTTGGCAGTTAATTTGCATATCACCCTGATTAGCCAATGGGAAGGGTAGCAGTCGTATGCTAATTACCATGTTTCTTTTTTATTAGATTAGATAATAAAAACCTAATATGCTAAGTGTTCAGTCATCTGGTCATCCATTCAACCAATCAAAGTATAATATGCTAATGATAAGCTAAGGCCACTCAATTGCCTGGGAGGCTCAGAAACAGCAGCCACAGCATCTGCGGGGATGGCAGGGGCCTAGGTGAGACCACCAGGGGCTGGGGTCCCCATGTGGGCATGGAGAAGCCAGGGTCTGAGCAGCAGCATCCTCACCTGGGGGTCCCTCCTTGGGACCCTCTCTGCACCCCTTCACCTACTGGCACAGGAAGGGCAGGCGGGGACCCCTGGCTGGGCCATGGGCAGAGAGAGCTGCTCCTCTCTCAGGCCCACCCAGTTCGGGGGTCAGTCAGCAGACGGCGAGGAGCTGCTGCTGGGCCCTTGCGCTGCCTCCCCTGGACCTCCCACCTGCTGTCACTGGGCAATAGCCATGTCTGGCTGCACGGATCTCAGCCACAAAGCACAGCCAGGCCGGCAGCCTGAGCAAGGAGAGCTGCCTAGAGGGTGCAGGTGCTGGAAGAAGCCCCGGAGCGCTGGGCCCAGGCAGTCGGGCCCAGGAAGGCAGAGCCCCAGAACTGCTGCTGGGCCCCTTGAGCCACAGGGCAGCCCCTGAATCCGCTTGACCCTGTGAAGCAGCGTGGAGCAAGCCACCATCTGACTAGAGCATGCCATCTGCCTGGCACGTGGCCTGTGGGCACCCTCACTGCCACCAGCTGAGGCCATGCACACTGCACTTTGCAGGGTGCTCTCCAGAAGCTGCACGGAGAACGGCTTTCATGATTACAAGTCAGGGAGAGGCACCTGGGAGGTAGGTGGACGAAGCAAAGCTGGGCAGAGGGCGAGGCTGGAGCACAATGCAGGCTGATGACACCTTGACCAGCCCACAGGGAGACCCAGGCCACGGCCCCCACTGGGACACAGTGCCAGCCCTGCTTCTCCCTGCGCCAGCCAAGAGGGACCTGCCGGGGCGAGGCAGCCAGAGGAACTGCCAGGCTTCCCAAACGCTGTCATCAGGTCCTGTCCTGAAGGGGGACCTGGCCTGCCTCTATGTCCGGCAGCGTCCACCACCTTCTGCCTCGTGTGCTGAGGAGGGGGCCACAGGAACACCGAGGAGTCCCTGCCCAGGGAAAATTGGGAAGCAGAAGCTCAGGGTACAACTGAGGCCGACAGGGCCCCCTCCACTGTCCACCTGGGAACCCACCCTTTTGCTACTAACTGGGAACTCTGGGGACTTACCTGGTAGCACAAACCAAAACCCCCATGCCTGAGGGGCTGAGCTCTGGTCACAGGGACTTCTCAGGCCAGGTGGCTGCACGTGTCCACCTGCCATCACATTGACGAAGGGGAGGCAAGGGACACGCAAGGGCCCTCACCTTCCCTGCCCCCCATTGTGACACAGCAGCCCTGCCTCTGCCTGGTGCTCAGTGTCATTGTCCTACCAAGATGGTGGCACGTCTTGCTCCGTGACCTCCAGACACAAGGAGCTCAATGTGCCCAGACACCAGCTGTCACTCACATCTCAGGAATGTTCCTCAGTGCAGGCTGCATGGCCTGCCTTGTCCTGCCCGCCTTCGGGCTTGCTCATCACAAATACTTTAACACCATCGTGTCTGCTGCATCCTGTGACGCCAGTGCAGCCTGGACCTGCAGCAGAGCCTTGACCAGTGCTGGGACCACTCAGAGCCGGCAGCCTGTTGTGGGGCCAGCATCACGGGCTGGAGGGCACTGTGAGGTGGGGAGCACGCTGCTTCCCTGAGAGGGACAGAGGCCCTCACTGGCCTGTTGTTTTGATGGGGGCCCCTGGGTGCTGGGCCGTGGGAATCCTAAAGATTTCCTGTGGCCAGGCCCCTGCCTCCTCAGGGGCGCGCTCCCCCTCTCAGGAGCACACAGCCTGGTGGCCTGTAACCTCACCAGTGAGGGAGTCAGTGTGGACCAGTGTGGTCCCTCAGAACCTGCCCTGCTTTAGAAATAAGTGCAGATGCAACTAGTTCAGATGGGGTCAGAGTGGAGGGGGGGAGGCCCTAAATCCAATGATGGTTCCTTGTAGGAAGAGGTGAGGATGCGGAGAGCACAGAGGGGTGGGGAGGACATGGTGGGGGTCCAGGGGTTACTCCCCAACCAAGGTTCCCAGCACCACCAGCAGCTGCAGGAGGCAGGAGCCTGGGAGTAGCTGTGGCCCCAGAACAACTTGATTGGGGGCTCCTGGCCTCCAGCCGGTAAGAGGATGCATTTGTGTTGTTTTAAGCACACACCCCAGTTCTGGGCTGTCACTGCGACCCAAGGACACCACACAGGGGGAGAGCCTGGTAGTGACTGAGGTGTGATTTCCACCTGGAAGGGCATGGCCCTCATGGAGTCTCCATTCCAAGCCCTGAAGGCGTCTCTCACACCTCATACAAGGGGAAGAGGCCAACGCCTGTGGGCCCTCCCCAGAGTCCCCATGGGCACTGACCTGGCTCTGCAGTGGTTTATTTTGCGGACACAGCCCTGCTGGCTCAGTGTCGCTCACCACTATGGGCCCGGGGCTCAGTCAGAACAGATTTCAGAGAAAAGAGGCAACATGCCCTGCTCCTCAATCTCCACCCAGGCATCTGGTTCCGCCCACATTGTCTTACAGCTGAGCCAGGAAGCCAGGTGCTCTGGCTGTGATTCCAGACAAGTGAGGTTGGGGGAGGGGGACAGCCCTGAGCCCATCCTCTGGAGAGAGAGCCCTGCAGGGCCACCCTGTGGCCATGCCTGCAGACACAGCCCCAGGCCCAGGTGTGACTCACTCCAGCCTTCCCTCCAACACCAAGTTCTAGGTCTTACTCCCTCCCCTGGGAGCGCTGGCCTCTGAGTGACTCAGACCCTCATTCTTAATTCTGGAAACACTAAAGGTCTGACTACACCCTCACCCAGGGAGGAAAGCCCTACAAAGACTCACAGTCCCCAGAACCCAATGGCAAGACAGGCAGCCTACACCCTCCTCGGGGGCACAGGGAGACCAGGATGTGTGTGGACCACCTGGCAGCTGTCACACACACAGCCCCGTGGACAGGCAGTCACTTAGGCAGAACGTGTGCCTGGAACCCGAGGGTGAGGGCACAGGGCCAGGCTGTGCTGTGTCACCCCTCCTCCCTCCCTGCGAGGAGCAGATCCCCAAGGGGGGGCCATCTGCATGGTGGTGCCTTCCAGCTGAGTCTCGGGCCTCATTTTCCCAGGAAAAGGCTTTCCTGGCTGCCAGGAACCCAGACTTCACTCCGGGGCACATGGGGGCACAGCTCCTGATCCGCCGCCTTGGAGCTTCCACTCTCCCTAACTCGGAGTCCAGGCCTCCCCTAAGGACCAGGTCACAGTGAGAGAGGAGGGCTTTCCACCCTGGCCTCGGGGGCAGGGGTCCTGGCACTGAAAGGTCTGGAAGGCCACCACCCCATTGTAGAATCAGACTGGGGACCAGCCTGTCGCTGCAGGGTATGGAGCCCCCTCACCCACAGTACAGGCCGCCTCAGGCTCCACAGGCCCTCCTGGGTCCTGGCTCCAACCTGCAGGTGCAGGACCCACCCCAGCCGGGCACCAGCCATGCCCCCCAAATCCTACTCCAGCAGGAACTGTATGTCACAGCCTGGGGCAGGAGGGGCTCCACAGCCCCTTCTCACTCCCTGGATTTGAAACTGAAGCTCCTCTGTCTGCTGGAAGCCCCTCCCACCCCCAGGGAGAAAGTAGGGGCTTTGCAGGGCCTGAGGGGATGGTGCACCTTGGTGCCTCTCCAGCAGGGGCGCCAGTGCCAGGACAGCAGCCTCGGGAGAACTGGGGTCACCTCTCCACCCTCCTCTCTGCCGCCTCCAACCAACCAGGACCTGGGAGCTGGGGGAGCCGGAGGGTGGGGCAGGGAAGAGGGGGACTGGCTGGTCCCGGGCCCCTGCATGTCCGCCCTGCTCCGGAGAAGCTCAGAATGGGAGACTGAGGATCTGATGGAAATGAGGCTGCACTTCATTTGGTCCCAGGAGTTGATCACATTGGAAAATGGGGATTCGGCGCCCCCGGGTCAGAGGGAGCAGCGGTGACCATGGAAACACAGCACCTCCTGTTTGCATGCGGCCACGTCCAGGTCATTAAAGCCTCCATGACACACTGACTGCGACTGAAGGAGGAGGAGGACGGTCTGCACCCTCTGGGGCGGCCCTCCGGGCTGTGGCCTCCAGCCCCGGGCAGCAGACTCACCTCCACCCCAGCCAGGAGAGCCGCCAGGTCGCCCTCTTCCAGCTGCAGCCATAGCTGCCCATCCCACCTGGTCCCCCTCCCAGAGCCTGGGCTCCCCCAGCAGCACGGACCACCCACTGGCCGCCTTGGCCACGCCCACAGTAAGTACACTGAGTCCAGAGCAGTTTTTCATGCAGTTTAATGAGCTACAGGGGGTGGGGAGGAGGCAGGAGTCCTGCAGTGCCCGCCTGACTTCAGAGCACAGTCCACCTCTCTCTCCCTTTTGCCTGTCAGGGGAGAGAGGCTGATGGAGGTGCTGAGGCTGGAGGATCTCAGAGCAGGTCGGGGTGGAGGAGGGCGCTAGGTGCAATGAAGAGCTGGCACTGGGAGGGAGCAGGGAGGGTCCCCCAGACACCCTGGAGGGCCTGTCTTTATCTCATGGGCAGCATCCTTGCCCGGCCCCGGGCTCAAGGAGAGGAACGAATATGACCGCGGATCCAAGGCAAGAAGGATTTCACTCGGGCATAGACTCCAGGAAAGTTGGGAAGACCGCACTTGTGCCCAAAACTCACCACGCCTACCTGGACCCAGGTATCCCTCCATTTACACACCAAGGGGCCCCCAGAGTCACCCTGTGGGAAGAGGAGACAGGTGGTTAGTAGTCAGGGTCCCTGCAGGCAGGAGCAACGGATGGAGGCCACAGTCTGGGGGTCTCACATGGCAGGAGTCCCGGCCTTTGCTCCCGGCACACAGCATGTTTTTCTTGATAACCTTGTGGATCCTGCGGTATTGCCGCTGACAGATCTTATTTGCCACAATGGGGACTTTCACCTCCTGCAGTTTCCAGGGCGGCGGCAGCAGCTCTGTGAGAAGAAGCCCAGTGAGCCTGTGTTCCTGAGGTTGCGGACAGTCACAGGCCGCGGGTTCTAGAACCACACGCTGAGCCTCAAGCCCCTGGGGGGACCCAGGGAGTCACCCAAGAACCCAACTGTCTGGGTTCACTCGAGGCCAATGGGCTGATAATCTCTAGGCTGACACTGTGGGCACCAAGCTCCAAAAAGAAATAGAGAAATATATTTTTATCCACAAATAATTTTTACTGAGAAAAATCAGAGCAAGTGCTTTCCCCCAAGAAATGCAGAGTGAGCGGCCCTAATGTCAAATTTGACTTTGTCTATTTAATAGTGAATCCTTGAGCTCGTCACTGAAGTTCTCTCCTCATTCTCCATCCCACTATCGAGACTCAGGGAGAACGGGGACCCCCGGAAGGGAGGACATGGCCTGGTGCAGAGTGAGGGAGAGAAATGCCCATGGCACCCTGGCCAGTGTTTCTCACTGGTTAGAGCACTGGTCCGAAGGGTCCCAGGTTTGATTCTGGTCAAGGGCAGGTTCAGTCCCCAGCCCAGGTGGGGAAGGCAACTAAAGATTTGCTTCTCACATTGATGTTTCCTCTCCCTCTCCCATCCATTCTCTCTAAAAATTTTTGGAAAAAACATCCCTGGGTGATATTTTTTAAAAAAAATTCCCATGGCCATGCCTCACTGTTGCTCCTTTGTTCTCAGCTCCTTAACAGAGCAGACCCTGGAGGGACCCCAGCTCACACCCCAGCTCAGCTCTCCTCTGTAAAGCCTGGCCTGCCCCCTGCATCTGCCTCAGTCTCCTCCTCCCACTCCCACGCATCATCCTGGTTCTCACCTCCAAAACGAATTTCACCCCAGCCAGTCACCCAGCACCGTGTGCCTGGGGGGAATGAGGAGGAGGCTGGGGGGAGGCGGATCCACCTGACGCGTTTAGATGGTCTCACGGGGGCCTCCAGTTTGAGAAGTGCCACGTCCGCCCCACCATATACTCCCTTTTCAAGGCTGTACTTGGGGTGGCGGATGATCCTGGCCACCTGCACACTGTCATTGTATGAGGCTCTCACTCGTCCTAGTTGGACCTTCAAGTGCCGAGTCACTGGGTTTCTCCTGGGGACAGAAGTCCAAAGGCTCCTGAGAGGCTGTGGCAGGAAGTGGGCCAGCCCCTCAGGGTCCAGAGACCTCCCCTCTATGGTGGCAAGGGGAGCGCCAGGAAGCTGAATCCTGGTGGGGGGTCTGCAGCCACTCAGCCCAGCATCTGCCCCCAACACACATCACATCCCTCCCGACATTGTCCACCCCCCCCCCCCCACACCGGGTGCTGGCAGAGTAGAAACTTACCCTGGAATGCAGTGGGCAGCGGTCAGCACCCACTGTTGATTGATGAGGGAGCCCCCACACCAGAAAATCCACTTGTCACTTGTTGGATCCAAGAACCACAGGGCCACCTGCCACGGCCACTCCCCATAGGCAGCATCATGCCCCCCCACGATGCCCATCAGCTCAGTCCCTGGGCCGGGATCTGGGGAAGCAGAGGAGGAGCCATCAGGGACCCAGACACCGCTGCCCGGCACTCAGCATGGCCCCATCCTCAGTCCCTCCCAGAGCCACCCTCAGAGGGGGATCGCCACCCATCCCAGGGGCGGCCTCTGAGAGGTCAGTCAGGGGTTTGGAGAAAAGCCAGGCTTGGGGGTCAGGACCCACCTGAGGTGACAGGTACGGAGCCCCCCAGACTGGGGAGAGTCAGGACCAGCAGCCACAGCATCTGCAGGGGGAGAGGGCAGGGAGGAGAGCCAGTGAGGAGATGTGGGGCGCGGACACACCCTGGTAATGGAGAGGATGGGGCTTTGAGCAGGGTCCTCACCATGCCAGGTCTGTCTGCCTCTGTCCTGGACCCTCTGAGCCCCTTTATCCTCCTGCCCAGACAGGCCCAAGGGGAAGCCGCCCTCCTTTGGGGTGGGGCCTGGGAGGAGGCATGGCTTATGCCTTCAGTGGGACCAGTGGTGACCAGCAGACCAGCTATCAGATAAGAAACATGGTGTTTGCTCTCTGAGAAGACACTCAGTATTGGTGCTGGAGCCCTAGCTGGTTTGTTTCAGTGGATAGAGTATTGGCATGTAGACTGAAGGGTCCCAGGAATGATTCCAGTTAAGGGCACATACCTTGGTTGCAGGTTCTCCGGCCCTGGTTGGGGTTCATGCAAGAAACCAATGATCAATGTGTCTCTCACATCGATGTTTCTCTCTGTCTCTCCTTCTCCATTCCACTCTCCCTAAAAATCAATATAAAATATCCTTGGGTGAGGATTAACAAAAAATAAAACTAATAAAAATATTGGTGCTGGACACATTTCAGTGGCAAGATGTCAGTTTGCACATGAAAAAGAAAGAAATGACATGCTTTGCATCATTCTGTACACTGAAGGGTCTCCGGTTCAATTCCCAGTCAGACCTCATACCGAGGATGAGGGTTCATTCCCTGATCGGGAACCGTACAAGAGGCAAACGACCGATGTTTCTCACATGTCTCTCCCTTCCTCTCCCTAAAATCCATAAGCATATCCTCGGTGAGGAACTAAATAAATGATAAATAATCAGATGCTCTGAAACAACACAGCAGGGGCACGGATGGGATGGGGGCTGGCACCTGAGCCAAGAGCGGGGGGAGGGGGGAAGGGGAGGAGCAGCCCAGTGCTCTCCTGCCCCCTCCTTCTTTTGAGGCTCAGTGTGTCCCCCACAAAGGACAGACTCGCTGGACCTGGAGACAAAGTTTGTCAGTAACACCATGAGATGGAGGAGGCAGCTTCCCTGGAGCCTTTGGACGGAGTGGGAACTGTTGACACCTGGATGTGACACTTCCGGCTTCTAACACTGTGACAGAATAAAGTTTTGTTTAAAGGTCCGGGTCTGTGGCATTTCTAAGGCCGCCCCAGGACACTCAGACATCTGCTCAGCTGTCCTCATACATCCTATGCATGATCCAGCTTTGTCAAAATGCACAGCAAAGGGTGTGAGAGGTGCCAATTTAGTGCTAGTTCTCCTCACCTCTCCTCACCTCCTGCACACGCCTCCACCCCCACAGCGCTGGGAGCCAACTCCCTCTCACACTCCCTGCTTTCTGAATGGAGGAGCTCCGTGCCCCAAGTCCACCCGCCAGGGACAGGCTTTTCAGCCCTTTGACATTCTCAGCATCATTCTCTACTAAACATGGGACAGGAACAGATAGTGGTTTGAGAGGAGAAGGAAGAGGGGTTCCCACACTCCTGAACCACTGCCCGGTCCTCTGTGCCCTGTGAGCCCAGTGAGGAGACCATCAAGGGATGCTTTGCAGCACTTAGTTGTGCTCAGGTCTCTAGAAACCCATCATTCCCTCCTGGGGCCAGGGTCCCTGTCATCCTTGGGACACTGGGGATCTCTACAGAAAATCTAATGGGAAAAATGATTCTGTTTTTGAGTAATCGCTTCTCGAACTGCCTTCCACAATGAATGAAGTTGGAACAGAGGTTCCACTGTATTGTCAAAGGGCATGTGCTCTTCTCTTTTCTGCTTTTGTGTGCACTACTGTCTACAGCAACATTATCCCTCACAGTCAAAAGGCAGAAACAACTGAAGTTTCCATGACAGATGAGTAGGGAGGTAGAATGTAGTCCATCCATGCAATGGAGCATTGATCAGCCATGAAGCCAAGGAACCCCCGGGGTTTCCAGCAGCCCCAGAAGCTGGGAGAGAGGCCGGGGGCAGATTCTCCCCCAGAGCCCGGAAGGAACCAACCCTGCCCACACCTGGGTTTCATGAGATTCCCACAACCTTGAGATTAGATATTATAACCTCAGTTGTTAGAATTTACTGATCACAGGCACTCCTTACTCTTAATTCATTAACATTTAAGAGGACTTATTTTTCTTCTCAAGCAACTGCACACTTGCATATGTTGTTGATTTTTTCCTCAATCCGGTTTCTGCACGCTAAGACCCTTATTCTGAATTCTTTTTCTGTCGTGTTGCATGCCTCTGTCTCACTTAGCTGCTTTTCTGGCGAGTTCCCCTTTTCTTTCCTTTGGGGGTTTCTTTGCCTACCCATGTTTGACCTCACTGACATATCTAGATGTTGAGTCATTCAGTGGCTGCTCCCTGGGTGGCAGTGGCTCCTTGGGCTGTGGTTGCTCCTTGGGTGGTTGCAGTAGCAGCTGCTCCTCAGTTGGCAGCAGCTCCTCTGGTGGGTGCTGTTCACAGCTGTGGTGGCTCTTCTGGCTGGTGGGGGGAGGCTTCACGTACAGCTGCTGTTCCTCAGACAGAGGGTGTGGTGATCAGGAGGCTGCTGTTGCTTGGATCTGCTTTCCATGGGGAGAAGCAGGGCTCGTCTGAGTTCATGTCGTCGCGCTGCTTGAGAGCCGTTTCCTCTGGGTTAGTAGCCCATCTCTGGATGCCAGTAACAGCCACTCAAGATGGCGCAGTCTCACGGCTGAGCCGGCGCCCCGGGGGGTGGGGGGGTTCAGCCTCAATCTCTAACCTTCCCCTTTTTTCTAGGAGTTCTCTGTCTTTCCTGGCTGCAGACTGTCTCTCAGCTGAATCTCCTCTGCTTATTCGGGCTGTATGTTACCCGTTTCAGCTGCTCGCCCTTATCTGCTCTGGGACAAAGCACCGACACGTCCGTCTAAACCTCCGCCATTTTTTTCTTCCCAGTGCTTCTTTTATGCATTTTAAATTACCCCTGACTTTCTTCCTTTTGTTAGCCTGTCTTGTATTCTGTTCCTTTTGCTTTCTTTCGGTTTCCTCTGACATAATTTTTCTCAGTTCTTGACTTAAACAGGACATTTTCTGTCCTATTTGTAATAAATCCAGAAAGGACTGGTCATTTCCCTCCAGGTACAAGTCACCAAGTCCCTGAGAGTATTAAGAAGTGGAATTTTCACCATTATGAGCTATATATACTTTTTAATTTGCATTCTTTCCAAATGTAGGAGGGCTTGTGCCCATTTTTGATATAAGTTTGAGAAAGCTTAAAATAACAATGTACCTGTTGTTTTCCAATACAAGGCAATTGTAAGAGACCTCTGAGGACAGAAATTTAAGCTTAGTATTTACCCAGGATGTAAAAAAAGACAGAGAATTAAAATATCCAGCGTCAGTAACAAAAGATGGTTCATAGGACGCCCCTCATAAATTCAGAAAGTGAACTTGTTGGCAAGTGTTCTTCTCACATAGTGTTCAGCTGTGATCTGCTCCTGTTTAATGTCTATCAAAGTTATATGTGACCATAAAACTGGAAGTATCTGACCGCCCCATCCATGCAACTGAACAATCACACACACACACACACACACACACACACACACACACACACACGCACGTAAGCCCACACACGTGCAGAAGATGATGGCATACATACACATAAGCCCACACAAGAGCAGAAGATGATGCATGGGCACACATGATGGGAGGTCTAGGAGGCTCCTGGTGTAGGGAGACCAGCCTGGGGCTGAAAACTCAATCATGGGTGGCAGTGTGCCTGTGGGACCCTGGGTTACAGCCTTCTTCCCCAGCCTGCCCTGGAGCCAGGGGAAGTAGTGAGGTGACTGCACCTGGGCCCTTCCTTTGGCAAAATTGATAAACTCAGGGGAGAGCAATCCAACTACAAACCAAGACGCTGGGAATGTCCCACAGAGAGGTGGCTGCACCTCCAGCTGCTGGGCTTGTTTAGTAGGAAGCCCCCTAGGGTCTTTCCACAGCTACTAGGGTTCAGGAGTCTGGGAAAGGGCTGCACATAAATTAATGAAGAGACTAGGGAAGAAATATGAATTGGGAAGGCATTTTGGGGGGCCAGAAAGAGGCTCAGTTCTATTGACTAAGTTCACTTAACCTCTAAACCAGGGGTGGGCAAACTTTTTGACTCGAGGGCTACAATGGGTTCTTAAACTGGACCGGAGGGCCGGAACAAAAGCATGGATGGAGTGTTTGTGTGAACTAATATAAATTCAAAGTAAACATCATTACATAAAAGGGTACGGTCTTTTTTAAATTTCAATACTAGAGGCCCGGTGCACAAAAATTTGTGCACTTGGGGGGGAAGGGGGTGTCCCTCAGCCCGGCCTGTGGCCTCTCGCAGTCTGGGACCCCTCCGGAGATAATGACTTGCTGGCTTAGGCCTGCTCCTGGGTGGCAGAGGGCAGGCCCAATCCCTAGGTGCAGCCCCTGGTCGGGCTCTGAGCAGGGCTGACTGGGGAGTTGGGCCACCGCCCCCTGTCATGCACAGAGCAGGGCGGATTGGGAGGTTGCGATGCCAACCTCAGTCACGCTCAGGGTAGGGCCAATTGGGGGGTTGGGGCACCGCCCCCTGTCACACTCAAGACAGGGTTGATGGGGAGGTTGAGGCACCACCCCCAGTCAGGCACAGAGCAGGGCCAATCAGGGGGTTGGGCGCTGCCCCCTGTCATGCACAGAGCAGGGCCCATCAGGGAGTTGGGGAGCTCCCCCCTGTCATGCACAGAGCAGGGCCCATCAGGGGGTTGGGGAGACTCCGCCCTGTCACACACAGAGCAGGGCCGATCAGGGGGTTGAGGAGCTCCCCCTGTCATGCACAGAGTAGGGCTGATAGGGGAGTTAGGCACTGCCCCTGTCACACACAGAGCAGGGCAGATCAGGGGGTTGGGCACCGCCCTCTATCACCCACAGAGCAGGGCCGATCATGGGAGTTGGGGAGCTCCCCCTGTCATACACAGAGCCGGGCCCATCAGGGAGTTGGGGAGCTCCCCCCTGTCATGCACAGA